ATCGCTACTGGACGCTGTGGCCGCCTCTACCACGCCACTATCACCACCAGCCGCATGACCATCACCACCATCCTCAACACATCAAAGGTGTAACTGATCGTACTCCACAGCAGCACCGACTCGTCTTTGTGTTTGCCAACAGGTATGTACGGCACTTCCCAGACTACTCATCCTATACACACACATGCACACAGACGAGGGCCTCTTCGCGACCACCCCTCCCCCTCCCCCTTTCCCCCCCCTGGTCAGTTCTACGTCTGGTACACTCTTGCCCTGGCAGCAGCTTCACTCGTTCGTGGTTCGTCTTTCCCCTTTTTCCCTCTCTAGACAGCACGCACATTTTCAGCACCGCCGCCGCGCGACGCACCAAAACCCGAGCCGCTGCTGCCGCTGCCGCTAGGCGGCGCCGGTGGCAGCTGCAGCTGCTGCATTACCCTTCTCTCCGCCTCTGCTGCTGCTGCTGCTGCTGCAGCCGGCCCCGCAGCGCTGTTGTCTGCCGCCCCCCTCCCCTCCCCCAACACCTCCAAGCGGTCCACGAGCAACGTGCCCATGTCCAGCAGGTCCTGCTCCCGACTGAACAGAACGCCGCGGGCTCGCTTGCACTGCCGCCGGTGCAGCTGCCAGCGGTCCCAGAGGGCCGCCAGCCACACGTCCCAGGCGAAGGCGAACAAGCTGAGGGGGAACGGGACAGAGAGAGAGAGACGTTTCGGGGGAACACGGAATGTTCACAGAGGTGGCTGGGTGGCGGGGGGAAAGGTGGGTAGGAGAGGAGGGAGAGAGGATGGCGGGCAGGCAGGCAGGGGGATAATAGCTGTGTACGGCATGTGTGTGTCTAGGGGGGGGGGGGAAGTCGGCGTTGGAAGGGAGGTAGTGAGGTCAGGCGGGCGCCGCGCGGTGGTGGAGCTGGAGGTGGTGAGGGTGTGAGGGTGTGCGGGTTAAAAAACCCGGGTTGGTTATGGAAAGAGAAGTCCGCCGTACGTAGGCGAGCTGGGGGAGCGGTACGGGAGCTAGGCTGGGGTCGTCAAGAGTCAGTGGGGTCACGGCCGTACATTTTGTACGGTTTCGAGAGTACGGCATGTGTACAGCGTGGGCAATGATGACAGAGCGCTCACCTCAGCGCCGCCACCACGCCCCACACGGAAACCTTGTCACGACTCCAGTAACTCGCCGGAGCCGCTGGCGTCGCCGTCACAGATGCCGTACGTTGTGCCGTACTCTCCGACGCCACCCCGGCGGCAGCCGTGGCGTCAACGCCCGCCGCCGCTGCCGCCGCCTGTTCCCTCGCCTCCGCCACCTCCTCCAGCATCCGAAGGAGCCGCTCCTTCCTACGCTGCCGTTCCAGCCCCTCCGGCCCGCCGTACAGCTTCTGTGCGAGCTCCACCTCCGGCACGTCCTGCAGCACCAACTGCGGCCGCTGCGGCAGCACCATGCCGTACAGCTTGTTGATGCCACGTACGACATCCTCTGCGGTGGGGCCCTGACCTGTTCACACGGGGGGAGGTACGGTTTGAGAATTAATGCACGGCGCCTGCATGCGCGTGTGTACGTACGTACGTATATGTGTATGCATGTATATATGTATGTATGTATGTACGTTGTGTGAGGACAGAACAGTCGAAGAGGAGAGGAAAGGAGAGGCCGGGTGAGGTCCCGAGAGACGGGAAAACGCGGGTGGTGGTGGTGGTGGGTCAGCACATAACAACAGAGCCCCCGGGGCTCCACACGGCCCCGTCTCGTCCCCCGTCCAGGCTAAGTCCAGATTAGGCAACCCCGGGGCAACCCGATACCACCAGTACCTTACCCTTCAGTCGGATGTAGCCGGTCGCTGCCTCCGGGTACAGCAGTACGGCAGGTAGTTGGTCCGCGAGTCCAGGGAAGGTGGCGGTTAGGAAGGCGCGGTTGGCGGGTTCGGAGGCGTCCAGCTTGGCGACCACAACTGCGGGGCTGCTCCGCAATCCTGTGGCCAGTCGCTCTACCTAGTGTGTGTGTGTGAGGGTGTGGCGTTATGTAGGTGAGGGTGTGGATGTGTGGGTGTGGGTGTGGTGTGTGGTGTGTGTGAGGGTGTGTGTGAGGGTGTGTGTGAGGGTGTGTGTGAGGGTGTTCGTGAAGGTGTGGGTGAGGGTGAGGGTGAGAGTGTGGATATGCAGCTGAACTCAGCTTTCACGGAGAGTACTTCACTCGGAAAAAGGGGGGAGGGGCAGGGGGGGAAAGGAGTCGAAGTCCGCGGACCTTGGGGCTCTATTACCACGAGGGGTTCTTACTGGGGTTACTGGGGTTACTGGGCAGGGCAAACTCGTGGCTTTGAGCGAGGAATGTCGATGTTGGTCTATCGTTGGTTGAATAAGGCAGGGGTTCAGGTTGTAGCAGGGCAATGGTTCGGAAGACCTGTTGGTTCCAGAGCTGCGCTCTCGCGTACGATGTGTTTGCATACGATGCCCCTGAAGAGGTAGGGGAGATGTAAACCTGATGATATCGCGTGCCAGGGTTTACTAGGGGGAATGTTTAGCGGCAGCATTACTCAGCGGCAGATTGATCTGGGGGGAATGTGATGTTTACGAGGTCTTTACCTCGTACTCTGCCGCGCGACAGGAGGGGCTTGCTGGGTCGTACACCACCACGACAAACGTGCGGTGGTTTCGATGCCCAAAGCTGAGCCGGTGGAACAGCTTGAAGCTGTCAAGCTGGATTGTGGACACGCAGCTGCCATCGTAGTCTATGGATGGAGGGGTAAGTGGGAAGGGGCTTTTTAAGTAGGAAGGGGGCCTTAAATGGCCCAGGTTACGGCATGTAATAAGCTTTGACGCTAACGTAACCAGAAAAGTCGCAAGTAAACGTTGTTGATGTTTTATGTGTTCCTATCCTAAACGTAAATAATATGACTTACCCCAGAGGTCGCGCTGCGGTGCCGTTGCCGACAACGGCCATTGCCGACAGCGTCGAATGCGCAGGCCAAGTTGCCGCCATGAGCAAGGAGATGGAGTGATGCTGCGCCAGTTGCAGGGATTAGCTGGTGTTAGAGTTGGCGCACCGCTGCGGCGCACATCGCCGAGCGGCGGCCTCAGGCCGCCGATGCACCGCAGCTCGTCCACAAGCTCTTACGCAGAAATGCACAGGGAAGGTATCCTCGTGGTAAACTCAAAGAGTGAATCCAACTGGCTTGTGTATTGGACCAACCGTCAGTGTGTTTACGCTCCGCGTTTGATTATATATTGCACAAAGCTCCCACGTAGAGCAGTTATATTGGCTTTCCTGTTGCCCAGCTAAATAACGTTGTATTATAACCTAAGAAGATACGAATTGCGTTAGCCGGACTCGTCAAGCTGACCAACCTCGTCAATTTGTTTCTGTCGTAGTTTGTTGCGACTTCGCAATTATGCCTTTGTAAATGTAGATGGTGCACGTGGTAATATAGCATTGCGCCGCTTACATGTTTTGCGCTGCAGCTGCAATGCAGGCCAAAGCATGACATGGCAGCGCCGCACAGCATGAGCCAAGGCGCGACGGAAACGCCATCATCCAGTAATGCGTTATCATTTGCCTCTTGTTGCAAATCCGTTTACTCATAAAGCACCATGTTCGTGGCGTACGCCGAACCCTTTGGCCTCCTTACCAGCCAGTCAGCCACTTCCGACTTTTACCATAAATCCCTGCCTTGACAGGTTTCATGCCTATCGATCTTTCAGCGCCATGCTCAATATGGTTAAAAAATCACCTTCGTTCCCTTTTTCCCCAGCAATTGCCATTCCCTGACCGATAACCATCGACAACCCCAATCCTTCACTTCCACAGACATTCCCATTTCGCAAAGTCGCCACCAGCACCACCAGCACCATTAGCCTTCTTCGTTACGCCGTTACAATTCCGCCGTCGCGGCCTCCCGGGCCACCGCTGTCCACCGGCCTGGCAATGGCCCGCAGCGCGGTCTTTAGCCTTGCCAGCCCCACACCGTGCGCCGCCGACACGGGCACGATGGGCAGCGGTGTGGCAGCCATCAGGACACGTAGAGCGACCCGCGGGTCGCTGCAACGGTCCAGCTTGTTGGCCACCACCACCGCAGGCGCCGCCAGCAATTCCGGGTTGTACAGCCGCAATTCCCTCTGGAGCGCACGGTACGGCACAATAAGTACGGCAGCAAAAGGTTACATGCATCAAGGTTCATGTATCATACGGGATTCTTTTCCTAGCCTTTACGACAGCACTCAGTTCCAAGCAAGGAATTAACTAATCGCTTCTTGTGAGTATTGGTTGTGTGTGTGTATGTGTGTGTATGTGTATTACGTGTCTTGCCCTTGTTGTTGTGGCATTTCCTTGAGGTTAAGAGCTTAGTCAATATTACGGTTGGTAAAAGGAGTTGGTTGCCAAGCCGCGTCAGCATTCTCTTGTGACCGACTTAGGCCGGCGCTCCCTGCCCATCCGCCATAATCCAACTTTTGAGTCAATGTAAGGAACAAACACGGGGGATTTAGGCACTTTGGGCTGAAGTACACAAGGTTTAGAATGCTAGCTGTCAACTGTCAAATTCCATTTGAAAGCATGGTCGACCCTAGTTGGTATGTGTGTATGTATATATGTGTGTACGGGTACGTGTGTACGGGGTGTGTGTGCATATATGTGCTCCCGTTAGCAAATCCCCAAGGTTGCCCAACCCGCAGCAACCCGCGCACGCATTTCAGTGTCCTGTGGAATCCGCATTGTCTTGCCTGGAGCACCCGGAGCTGCTCCGCCGGCGGCAGGGCGACGGTTCCCACATAGGCCTTGGCGGCAGCCTCACCACCGTCGACGTCGACATTGCCGCCGCTGCTTCTGCCATCATCATCATGATCAGCAGCAGCAGCAGCAGCAACAGCAGCCGCGTCAGCACCATTACCGCCGCTGCGAGCCCCAGGCAGGTTATGGCAGGGTGAACCGCCCCGAGCGACAACATTGCCCCCGCTGCCGCCGCCACACTTGCCGCCATCGGCAACATCGGTCTGCCGTACAGCGGTGGCCTGGTCTGCCGTACTGACCTGCCCTCCTGACAGATCCACCACGAAGGCCATGCAGCGACATCGCTCAATGTGTCGCAAGAAGGCGTTGCCGTGGCCCCGGTTGGCATGAGCACCCTGGTAGGGAACAGGAATGGGAGGCGAAGGTGGAGTGGGGTGGAGTGGGGTGGAGTGGAGTGGGTTACGGAGACGCGGTGGGGGTGGGGAGGAGAGGACGGGTAGAGGGGACTCCAATCGGAAACCCCCTCGGCAAGCTGCACAAAACACACAAAACACACAAAGCACACAAAACATGCAAAACACACCCATGGCGCTGGGCTCTACTTTCCCCGAGTCGATCATGTCCCTTTTATTTCCCCGTCGGGCCCGACTCCCTTCGCTCTCCCGTGGCCCGGTTCTACACAGTTCACTAGTTGCTTCAATAACGACACAAACACATGCATTGACTAGTTGTATGGTGGCCATGGATTGGTACCCTCCACCGTTGCCTCTACCCTCTTTCACGCATACGTATCACGCATACATATACAAGTACACACACACATGCACGCGTGCAGCACGACCGTTACGAGATCTCCACGAGACCTGCACGAGACCCGGGATGTCCGCCACAACCAGCCGGCAGCCGTCATCGTAGATGATCGTACCCAGCTGTGGCCGTACGGTGGTAAAGGCGTAGCTGCCGACCTTCGCAGTGGGGGTTTCGGGGGGGGGAAGTGGGGAAATCATAGACGAGAAGTGGGAAGTGAACTGCTGTCGGTGTCCAGGAGGTCCGTGGGTGGTTTACAACTTAGGTTGCAGGCATGTGAGTAAGTGTGTGTGTTGGGGGGGGGTGGAGGGGGAGAGGACCTCGAGGGACACTACAGGGCTCTAAGCGAGGCGTACGTAGATTCTCCTTCTTAGGCGGAAGCAGCATTTCCGAAAGGGTGTCCCTCCCATCCCTAGCCTAACATGTTTTTTCAGAACGGGCAGCAGCATCCCTAAAGCTGCGGAAGGGGTGAGGATGGGTTTTGCCCACACGCATCACCATCATCATCATCATCATCAACGAATCGAAACCCCAAAAAGAACTTACACTAAACTTCGCAAACCCCTGAAACTCTAAAGCCGCACCTTGGCCCTGGCCGCCGTGATGCCCCCCAGCAACGTGCTCTTGCCGGCATTAGGCAGCCCCACAAACCCAACATCAGCCAGCAGCCGGGTCTGCAGATGCACCAAAACCGCCTCGCCTGCACACCCGGATGAGATGCGCACGGTGGGCGGGCGGGTGGGTGGGTGGGGGAGAACGGGGGCATGAAAAAAGGAAGACAGGATCCGAAAAAAAGGACATAATGAAAGCACCTGCAATCGTGACGGCGTGGCTAGGAAGGAAAGAGGCAAGGGGCCGAAGGGGAGGCACAGGAGGGCACGGAGGCCGCGGCACAGAGGCAATGAAGGCGCACTGCGGGCGGCTAGATGGGCCCCACCCATGGAAAGCTGTGGTGAATCCGTGACCCGCTGTGCACGTGTGCGTGCATGTATGTACGTATGGTGGTGAGGGGGAGAGTTAAATGAAGAGGGAAGGCATAAGAATAAAGGGTACAATACTGGAGCCTCGAGGTGGTTGAGGTCGTTGAGGTGGTTGAGGTGGGTTTTTGGAGCAAATTCGGGTAGATCCCCAATGAGACTCATGAGAGGGCCCTATGCACCTACGTGCAAACGCACCCCCCAGCATCATATATGAAAGCAGTACATCCGCCGCGTATCATAGTAGTATACTCCCCAATGTACGGAAGTACGAACGCGCTGTACAACAATGTACGGGAAAAGTACCTGGGGACCCCGGCTCGCTGTCCGAGGGTGCTGGTCGGCCCGCCGGCGAGGGGAAGGACTGATTGCCCCTGCCGCCCTTGCCGCCCCGGGCTACCACCAGCGCCTGACCCACTTGGGTCAATTCCACCTCCACCACAGGCGGCTGCGAGCCGATGACCCGTGGGTCAGTCCTCCCAGTCCTCCCGCCAACACAAGTACCATGAGCAGAGAGGGCTTTGTCCCGGTCGCTTTCGGATCCGCTGTCGGCCTGGATTTCGTTTTGGATTTCGTTTTCTTGTCCTTCATCGTTGTCATCATCACCGTCGGCAGCAGACGAGGCTCCGATGGAGGTGTCGTCGCCATCGTGGTCATTGTCGTCGTCATCTAGTTTATCGGGTGTTGGGGTTCAGGTGGACATGCCGGTGGTGGGGGGATATGCGGGCTGCGGGCGGGGGAAGGGCAGTCGGGGGTTGTGGCGGTATAGAAAAAGGCGTTGCGTTGCCCCCCCCCCACATCACATCAAACCACACACCAAATCCCCAACTCAGCAACCAGGACGAGAGACACTCTGCTGTACGACGCCGTACGGTGCTCACCGTCGTCGGTATCGACTTGTTTCGACGCCGCCGGCCAGATTTTCACAGTGGTTCCTACGGGCACCTCGACCACGCGGTCCAACCCGCGGGCACCCGTACGGGCCCCCGCACCGCCGGCGCCGCCAGCGCCGCCGACGACCACCGGCAGGATGCCGTACAAGCTCGTCGTACTCTCACTAGCACGGATGATGACGTCACCTCCGGCGCCGCCGCTGCCGCCGGTAGCGGCCAGGTGCCGTCCTGATGACGGGAACCAGGCAGACACCGCCGTACTTCAAAAACTCGTACAGCCGTACATATCGTATAGTGGCCCATTTCTTTGCCGGGAGGTGCAATTCACGTTCGGTGACTGAGGATGTGCGACCAGAACGTGACAAAGGTGACAAACCCCCTTGACGGCAAAGAAAGGTGGGTACAATGATCATACAGAAAATAAATTAGATTATAAGTTAAATTAATTAATCTAGCCTTTCATGATCAGCCTACTATTGTGATGCTGCATCTTTAAACAAACAAACAAACAAACAAACAAACAAACATACATACATACATACGTACACGAAGAGAGCACCAAGAGGATGTAGGGTTGAGGAGTGGTAGGAGTCGACAGGTGGCTCTAGCGAGGGCGCGGATGAGGGGGAGGTTGGTGTCCAGGAGGGGCCGTACTTTTACGTTAGTGCGCACTGCAGGGCTGCTAGGTTCTCTCGGGGTACGAGGCTAGGGGTCCTCGGGCTGCTGGACGCGGTGAGTAAGGAAGGGTCTTGGGAGCCAGCCGTCTAGGTAGAGCGGTAAAGGGGGTTGCCGGCGAGCTGGCTACCCTCCCCCCCCCTGCGGTTTCTTTCGGAGGCGTGGTCGCCGGTCGTGTGTCATGGCAGGTTATCTTCCCCCGTTCCCGCGCTTTTCGAGTTGGCCCCATCGCCATGTAGGGGGGGACCTGGACACGTGCGGTGATACCCCCCCCCCCTGCGGTTGACACCTCTCCTGGACTAGCCCAGGAAGGGAGAGGCGGGGGTGGGGAAGTGGTCTCGGGAGGCTGTTTGGCGTCTTGTGGTGTGAGCGCTTTGCGCTCTTTTTGGGTGAGGGTTTTTGAGCTTGGAGACCTCCCCAAACCGCCCGGGATGACTCGTCGGGCTCTCGATTGCCCGGATCATGGATGCGCGCTCTTTGAGGCTTTTTCTGTACTACTTCTTTCTGCCCGTAGAAAGGACTCCCCGGGGTGTGGCTTCGTCTTTGCTAGGTGGCCAGCGGGCCTAGAGCCCGTTTAGCTGTAGCGCTAGCCTCCGGTGCGGAACGCTGATTAGTGCCGGCTGTCGTACCTCGTACGCGGTCTAACCCGGGGTCGGAATGCACGGAACTAACCAACCGTGTGTGTCTGGCCCCCCGCTCTGTGTTTCGTCCCCGGGCCCCCGGCTTTTAAGCTCACAATGTAATCAACGCCATACATATATACGCATACATACATACATACATACATACATACATACATACATACATACATACATACATACATACATGGGGGCACCAGAAGCAGTAGTACTGGACATACATACAACCGCGTTATTTGGTTAAGTCGTACAGCCCTCAGGCCCCCTCAGGCAGGTACGACTCCAGGAACCTACAGACAATACGATACATTAGGGCATCGACCGTCGTACAGGACCTCCCGTGCCGTACCTCGTCCCACGGGGTCATAAGCCACCCTGCCATGTCCTCCACGGCCGCCGCGCACCCTGATCCGGGCCCAGTCCACAAACCGGCCCCGTTGGGGTACCACCGGCTTGCCTTCGTGAGCTGCTGATCCCGGAGAGCCCCGGCAGCGGAGGGAATCAGAGATGAGTGGATCTGAAGACGATGACGACGACGACGATGATGATGGCACGCTGTCACCGTCAGCGACCGTGACGGCGGCAGTGCCGTCACTGCCGCTGGCTGGCGGCCAGAATTTCGCAAGATCACGACGAACGTCGCTGCTGGTGCTGCTACTGCTACTGCTACTGCTGGTGCTGGTGCTGCTACTGCTGCTGGTGCTACTGCTACTGGTGCTGGTGCTACTGCTACTGCTGCTGTACCAGCGGTTATGGCGGTACGAGTTGGGAAATGCCCAGCTAGGGGGGAAGAGAAGGAGCCGGGTTACGGCCGAGTTGGGGGGATCGTTAGCACGTACGACACGCCCGGCTGGGCTCCATGTGCCGAGATACAACTTTGCCGGACCGGTTGGCGTCGCAGTGAGGTGCATGCCGCTGCCGTACAGGACGAGCTTGTCACCAATTGCGTGTTTGCGGTCGGCACGGCTGACAGAGCTGTAGCTAATGCCGTGGCGGCTATAGTTACAGCTACTGCTACTGCTGCAGCTGTAGGTGCTGGTGCTGATGTGGTGGATGGTGCGGGTGCGGGTACGGGTACGGGTGCGGCATGTAGGGGGTAGAGTAGGTAGGTGCGTTTTAAGCCGTACGGGTGGTTCGCTTGTGTGAAGAGGTGGGTGATGGAGGGGGTGTTGGGGAGAGAGAAGAGGGAAGGAGCGTCGATGGAGGGCCGCGGGGAATGAAGCAAGCTGGGGCTGGGGTTGTAGCAGGTGAGGTTGATGCGCTGTGTGAGGATTTAAGTATGTGCGAAGCGGATTAGAGGATCTCCAAAAGATTGCCAAGGTCCGCTTCGGCTGATAAAATTGGAGCAACAAGGCAGTCGCAGGTGGTTTCGCTGCGAGGGCGGTGACGCGTGGGGCAATCGGGCAGGCCATATTGGACTAGCTTTACTAAGGAAGCAAGCGGCGTTTAACATATTGCTATTGCGAGTGGTTTGCGCGGGATTTCACCTGGACCTGAGTAGGTAATCAAGGACTGCCGTACGGGCAAGTGGCATGAATTTCCAATGCTGGTCTGTGCCCGATGTGGGCGTTTAAAAGTGAAGGATAAAATGGACATAAAAAATTGTACTCCAGGATTTAACTTCCTAGTTTCTAGCGACTTGCGTCATTTCTTTCGTTTCCGTTATCTCAAAACGTTTTTACTTAGGTTGAGTATACCTTGAGTACGTACTTATACGATTCAACTAGTATGGCGGCAAAAACTGCAGCTGGGAGGTAGACCATGGCGCACCGCTTGACCAAATGGTTTCAGCACAGCCTTCCGAGGACATGGAAGGAACCCCTTGAATGGATATGATATATCTGAATCCATACAGTCTTGACATGATGATGCAAGTTGAGGTAAGTGTATTAAGCTTCGTGCCCTATTCGCAGCGGATGGTTCTCCAAGTCACAAAAAAGTGGTCGCTGTCAAACCTATAAGTTCATAAACAAACACAACTGTGCGTTTGCCTCTGAAGTACACATTTCCAACATAACTTCGTCGCTTGGATGCCCACTACGCTTCCATGTCACTTCACAGGCGGACCGCAGCCGCCCAAACCATGAGGAGTTGTAGTCTCCGCTCGCGGCATCCAAATCCTAACACGTTATGAGTTTCCTAAACGCGTTGGTGTCGCGAAGCTCCCAGGACGTGTCCCAACCCTCCGCTGCCATGGAAGGTGCACGGTGCCCCAGCTGCGCCACGCCTTCTCCACCATACCCTAGTTCACCAGATGCACCCTTCAGCCCTCGGGCCACTGCATATGCGGCCTTCACGGCTTCAGCGCCCTCTGCGGCACCACCGCGCCGCGCATCCCCCGCTCCCGATGCTGGCGCTGCGGGCATCACAACCCCTGCCGGCGCCGCAGCAATGGCCACAGCCGCCGCCAGCGAACCGGCCGTGGCGGGGGCCCTTACAACCGCAGCCCCTGTGATAAGGCCCATGTGGGTCCTTCTCCTTCGGGCCGGAGGGAAGGCAGCTCTCCCTTCCTCCCCCTCCCCCTTTCCCTTGTTCTCAGCCTCTACTCGCCTGCAGGCGATTCCTTGGTGTGGGGGAGAAGCAGGCGGCGTTGACTGCCAGCAGCAGCTTCACCACCACCATCACCACCATTACCACCACTACCGGTATTACCACCAAGGGCCGATGGCTCCACAGCAACAGCAACAGCAGCAGCAACAGCAACAACAACAGCAGGATGAGGAGGTTCTGGAGGCGGGAAACCAGCAGCAGCAGCAGCAGCAGCAGCAGAGGCGGCATGGGGGGTCCCGCGGACATCGCCCATGGACCCTGCAGCAGCAGCAACAACAGCGGCGGCAGACATCCCCGCTACTGCTGCCGCTGGTACTGCTACTGCTGAGTTCGGGCGTGGGGTACTTGTCGACGGCGGCCGCACAGACCACGGCCACCAACACCACCGGCAGCAGCAGTAGCAGGTCCTCTTCAGTGAAATGGACATTTCTGATATACATGCTTGCGGACAACAATTTGGAGTGCTTTGGAATACTGGATTTGATTGTGGGTTTTCTGTGGCTGTATGTGTGCGCGCGCGTGTATGTGTGTGTTTATGGAGGGGGAGGACGCGAGGCTGTGTGTGTATGTGTGTAATGGGGGGGGTCTAAGAGGGTGCAGTGAGAGGGTGCGGCGCGCGCGTGTGCGGGGAAAAGCGGTAGCGCACGTTGCCACATACATACATACATACATACATACATACATACATACATACATACATACATACATACATACATACCCTTTCGCTATATGATGTAACCGCTGCACCGCGCCTAATGCTCGTACACCCTGCAGGAAATGATGCAAGGCATGGCTCGGGAGCCCGCGGGCTGCGTGTCCTCTTCCTGTGGTGTGGAGTGTACGGCGGGATACGTCACCACTTCCAAGAGCAGTTGCGGAGCGGTAAGCGGTGTCTGTCTGTATGTGTGTGTGTGTGTAAGGGAGGGGGGTATTTAAGGGGGCTTACAGGGGGGTGCATGTGCATGTGCGTACGGGGTTCGTACGGGGAGCTAGGCTAGCTTGAGGCTGGTGGAAAACTGTGGGGGCAGCCCTGCCTCTGGGCGTTACGAGGTTTGTAGGCTGGGATGTAAATAGGGGTTTGAGGGGGTCAGGGAAACCCTCCCTCTCCCCCTCCCTCTTCCCCCTTGCGGCATATATTCCCCTCCCTCCCCCTCCCTCCCCCCTCCCCTCCCTCCCCCCTCCCCTCCCTCCCCCCTCCCCTCCCTCCCCCCTCCCTTCCCTACCCCTCCCCTCCCTACCCCCTCCCCTCCCCTCCCCCCTCCCCTCCCCCCCCCTTTGCAGGGCAAGTCCGTGTCCCGGTGCTGTCCCTCCTCCGCGTACCCTGACGTGGTGGTTCTGGCGGACCGGGGAGTGGCCACCTGCTCCGTCACCGCCCCCCCGGGTAGCGCTCTGGACCTGTCGCTGCTGACGTCCACCTGGACCACGGCCAAGGAGCTGCTGGTGATGCCGGGTGAGGAGGGGAGATAGCGGGGGGTTGCGGGGGGCTGGGGTGTGTGTATGTGTGTGTGTGTGTGCCTTCACCCGGTTGAATCCGTCTTGCCCGCGTCCCTCACATAGATACATACATATATACATATACATACATTTAGCAGGCAGGCGGCTGGCAGAGGTGAGGGCCTGATTTCTGCTCCCGGCCGACCCGGGTTCAAATCCGCCTGCCGGCTCCTCGGGTGTTTGAGGAGTGTTGAAATGGGAGGTGGCCCCCCATCTTATGGACGATGTAGGACGTGATAAAATCAACTTGCGAGCTAGCCAGGAACTAAGTTGATGCGCCGTTGATCCGCTAGATTTGGTTGGATGATAGTGGTGAGTTGCCGAACCCAACGAATACATTCTGAAGCCGGATGGGGTGACGGATTAGGGTGCCCCTCTAGCAGGGGAGAGCAGGGACTGCCCCGGGAAAGGGGGCCGCTGGCGAAGTTAACCACCCTGTAACAACATACATGCATACATAATCAGGTTAGGCACTACTGGTAAGGCACGGACCATTGCGTCCCGTCAGATCCCGGGATCGAGACCTGTCAAGGTCGAAAATCCTTCCGATGGTGGACGGTAAAGGGCCCCTAGTTGATGGATGGTGGTGACCTGGGATAAAGTTGACTCGCGAGCCGACCAGGAATGGAGTTGGGCCGCTGTCGATCCGGCAGATTCCGTTGGAAGCTGGTGGTAGGTGCGGAACCTGAGCGATCCACTGTGAAGTAGGCTAGGGGGTGGCTGGATGAGGGTGCCCCGAAATACCGCGGAAGGCGGGGTTTCGCAGGGTAGCGGCCAGGGGTGAAGATATACCCCCCTGTCCCACACATCAGATATGTATATGTATATGTATATATGTATGCCCTCGTAGGCGGCTCTCTGCAGCAGGTTCGCGATCTTGGCGAGATCGACATGGCCTCCCCCGACCAGTTGGCCGCCTTCCTTCAGCGGTCCTTTGTGCGCTTCCCGCCCTCTACCACCACCTCCCCGTCGACTTCCTCCACCTCAAGTACGACAAGTACGACAACGACTCGGAAGTACGTGCTGGTGATGTGGGACCACGGCAACGGCTGGAAGGTGCGTGTGCGCTGCCGGCGCTGTGTGTCTCTCTAATCACGTAAATACACACGCATGTACATACATACGGATGCACATCCCCGCACACAACCCCCCTACCGCCCGCCCTGTCTCACCTGAACACAACACCATCGTCAAAGTATGCGTCCGTCCGCATATATCCATCCATCCATCCACCCATCCATCCATCCACCCATCCACACACCCACCCATCCATCCATCCCTCATCTCGACATCTCATGCCCAGATGAGCTGGGACGCGGACATGCTGTTCCCCGTAGTAACCCCCCCTCTCCCTCCCCCTCTTCACTAGCTCGCAGTTCGTCTTTCCCCCTCTCCCTGTTCTACTTCTGGTACACTCTTGCCCTGGCAGCAGCTTCACTAGCTCGCAGTTCGTCTTTCCCCCTCTCCCTGCCTGGCGCCTCATCTGTCGCCAAATCTCCTCCCACACATGTTTAATCTCATCTATGCTAACCTAATCTATGATTTATATTAATCTAATTTTAATCAAAATTCAGTTTACGTTAGTCCAGTGCCGGTGGTCTGGGGACCGCCTCTCCCTCCACCCTGGGGCCAACTCCGAGGGCCCCGCCTAACCAACTAACCAACTAACCGACTAACCAACTACCTAACTTAACGACCTGCTTAACCATCTGACTACCTGCCTTCGGGCCTTCTTAACGAACTAACTCCTTCTTACCTACACCTCTTGTCCTCCTACCTAACTACTTGACTAACTACCTAAATGTTCGGCCCTTGTGTCGTCGTACAGGGGTACGGCGTAGATGACACGTGCTCCGCTAGCGGCGGTACCACCGGCTCCGGATGCGACATGTTTACCCTGACGTCTTTGGCTCAGGGATTGGCGAAGGGACTTGCGGGGCAAGCCGTGTCGAAGCTCGACGTACTGGGCTTCGACGCCTGCCTAATGTCAATGTACGAAGTAGCTGGTGTGTTGGCGCCGTACACTCGTACATTGCTTGCATCTGAGATGCTGGAGCCGGGCCATGGCTGGGATTACAGCGCATTGGGTGCAATGACGGCGGCGGCGTCGCCGCCAACGACGGAGACGGCGATGGCGCAGATCTGGATTTCGCAGTACAAAGCCCAGGCGGTGTCGTACCAGACGTCGGGGGTTACGTTGGCATTATCGGATTTGGACGTGGCGACGGCGCAGCTGGTGCCGGCGGTAAGCGCGCTGGCGGATGCGCTGCGTACGGCACTGACATCGAACAATTCGTACGCGTCGGGGGTATTGCGGCGGCGCATTGCGATGGCGGCTGTAGGTACGGGTGACCAGGAGAGCGCCGTGGATCTGGGCAGCATGCTGAAAGGTGGGTTTTAATGGTTTTAATGGTTTTAATGGTTTTAATGGTTTTAATGGTTTTAATAAAATTTATTTATTAATTAATAATTCGCCTGAGCAGCTCTTCTAGTATTCAGAATGATGATTGAGGGGAGGACAAGGAAGGGGAAGGGGAAGGATGTGTGAGTGTGTGGGGGTAAGGAGGGGGGTAGGCATCCTTTGCAATCACGTCCTCACTCTTTTCGGGTCCACTTGCAGCTGACGCAAGCTTGTTTTGGGAGGGGAGAAGGGAAACGAACGTCGTTTGAGGTTTATCAGTTTGGCGTGGCCCGCGCTTCTTTCCCGCAGTTTTTCTGTACCTTGGCTCTCCCATTTGCCGTACTTCCAATCGTATTTCCGACTCTTGCTTCTAACCGTACTTACAACCCGTACTTACAACCCGTCCTCATTTCGATCGATCCCACAGAGTTCCGCCAGGCTTCGTCGGAGCTCGACGCCGCCTCCCTCGCCGCCGCCACCGCCGCCGCCGCCGCCTACAACGCCACCCTACTGGCGTTCGGCCGTGACGACGCCATGCCGTACGGCACCGGCGTCGCAATCTACTTTCCCGCCCAGGTGGCAAAGATGGATGCGGACTATCTGAGCCTGACGTCATCGTCGACGTCGTCGTCGTCGTCGGGGGTATTGGCGGCTGTCGCTGGTCGCTGGGCCGCGTTCCTGGCGGCGCTGTACAACGCTTCCGTCGCCGTCGCCAGTACCGAGACGAGCTTTAGCTTCCTCCAGGGCTCCGCTGCATCCGTGCCGTACATTGACGTGGCGTCGGGTTCGTACGTACTGCAGGGTGTGCTGAACAGTCCCCTGGCGCTGTCGGCGCAGTCGTACTACGGGTTTGTTGACGCAACCGACAAGTGAGTACGGGAGGGGAGAGGGGGAGAGCGCTGGTGTACGAACCTGGGGCAGGTCTGGTGTGAGCGCGTAAGTAGTTTATGTGTATGTGCGTGTGTCCATTTGGCGTCCCCTGGGTTTTGTCCTTTGTAAACCCCATACCCTCCAGTCCTTCGCCCCTTTTCCCCCCATCCCACACACACCCACTCCTGGCCAAATGCCTGAGCTCCCCCAACCAGCTACACGCCCCCCCCTCCCCGCCTCCCCACCGCCAACCCCAACAAGCTTTTAATTGTAAATATATTCCAGTTCATGTGCGCATTTATTCCCCCTGTCGTACTCCTCGCCACGACCCCTGTCGTACTCTCCCTCCCGTTCCTTTTGTTTTACAGTTCGTACGTGCTAGCGGGCTCTCAGCCCGCCGTAGTGCAAGGCCTCAGCGTCCTTGGCACCTGGCGGCGTCTCTTGTGGGGGGTGGCGCAAACTCTACACATACCAACACCCACACGCACCACTACCTCCTATGCCGCTTCCTCCTCCTCCCCCCCTTCCTCCCCCCCTCCTTCCTCCTCCCCCCCTTCCTCCAACTCACGCTCGTCCACTACCGCAACGCTCCTAACTTCTTCTTCTTCTTCGCCGTCTTCATCGTCGCCGTTATCGTCTTCTTCCCAGCAGCTTCTCGCTTCCTCAGCAACCGACACAACTGCTTCTGCAACCGCCACCACAACCGCCACCTCCACGTCGGCCCTCATGTTCGCTGCGGAAAGCTGGACGACTACCGCAGACGGTTCAACTGCCGTGTCCGTGTCATTAACCGCCAACGTGCGGTACGGCGATTCGTGCAGCTCCCCTCGCAGCACCATGTTATCTGCCGTACTGAAGTACACGTACCGTTTCGGCAGTAGCAGCGCCACGCTGCAGCTGTTTGCGCAGCAACAATCCGGTGGCGCATACGGCGAGGTTTCGGTGCAAGCGGGCGGCGTGATCGTGCCGATGATGTACAAGCTGCCAAAGGACTTTTCGGGTGCGGGGAAGGGAGGAAAGGGGAGGGGAGGGGAGGACAGTACGACGAAGCACAGTGCAGGGTGTTTGGGACGAACAAGGAGGAGGGGGAGATGACGAGCGATGCTGATGCCGTGCCGATGCCGTGGTTGGACGGATATTCCGCAGGGATAGACAGATTCTGCTTGGAGGGGGAGATGGGAGGGAAACTGGGTGAGGGGAGTTTCAGAGGACGTGGGAAAATGGAAGAGAGAGGGGGGAGGGAAAGAGCGGGGAGAGCTCTGAAAAGGGGTTGCGGGGGAGGCGGTTCTAGATGCGGGAGCGAGACGAGTGGATGTGTTTGGGAAATGTACGGAGACCGGCACGTAACCCTAACCGTGCCTTTTCCCCCTCTTTTTCCCTCCACTTCCCGCAGGGCCCCAATCAGTGACGTACGAGTACAGCGGCTGCCTCAAGTGGTGAGAACATGTGCCTGTGTGTGTATGTATGTATGTGTGTATATGTATGTATGTGTATGTATGTATGTATGTGTGGTTGTGTGTTTTTCGTGTCATTTTCTGACAGTTAGCAGCTGACACGGCCACATTGGCTGAGGGCGGGCGGGTGTGGAGGGGGGGTTGCCTTCGCAGTACGAAACGGAGGGGCGACCCGTCGGAGGAAGATCTCCCCTCCGAAACCAACGACGTGTGGAAAAGGATGGGGAGGAGAGGGAGGGAGAGAGAGAAGTTGAGGGGAGAGGTGAAAGGTGAGGCGGGCCTCTTTCCCACCCACCGCATGTTCAAACAACTCAGACTCTGCTCACACGTACTTGCACGCTATGTGCGTGTGTAGGTGTGTGTATGTATGTATGTATGTATGTATGTATGTATGTATGTATGTATGTATGTATGTATGTATGTATGTATGTATGTATGTATGTATGTATGTATGTATGTATGTATGTATGTGTGGATAACGACGTGGTTTTACCCTTTCCTTTTCCTTTTTCCTGTCCCGCCTCCCCTCTTTTCAGGGGTTATAACGGCACTGTACGGGTGGTGGTTGTGGGGATGGACGACGCCGCCGACACGCTGGGTGTGGATGTCCGAGAGGACATGCTCATGTTCCTCATGGCCAGGGACCTGTCGCTGTGTGAGTGGAACTGTGGAAGGGAGAGCCGTCACCGCTTTCCGTCGTGTGTTTTAATAATGTGTGTGTTTACGATGTGCGGGGCGGGGGAGTTGTCAGGATTGGGAATTGGGGAAAAAGGGGAGAGGGAAAGAGGAGGGGTTTCGATCTCCAGAGGAGCCGCTGGAGGTTGTGTGTTTGGGGGGGGAGGGGGGGAAAGACGAACCACGAACGAGTGAGGCTGCTGTCAAGGAGCAGAACTGACCAGTAGGCGTTCTTGAAGGCGGCGACCTCGGGATGATGTTGTGAAGACGACCGCGGAAACCTACCTACCTAGCCGCCAAGACTAAAGTAGGGGGGAGGGGGGGCGGGAAAGGGGAGAGGGGTTTCCAGGACACGGGACTGGAGGGGGGCCGTGTGTGTTTTGTTTGCGTGCGCGCGTGCGTGTGCGTGTGTGTGTGTGTGTGTGTGTGTGTGTGTGTGTGTGTGTGTGTGTGTGTGCGTGCGTGCGTGTGTACATTTGGTGCCTCCTTCTTTCCGGATTCCATTCCCATCCTTAAATCCTACACCCCTCCTCCTCCCCTCTTCCCCCATCGCTCCCCCTGTGCGTACACGTGTACGCCTGTGCGTGCATGTGTATGTGTGAAGGTTACAAGTATCTGACCGTATGTATGTATGTATGCGTGTATGTATGTGTGTATTTCACGCCGTACAGCCAAGAGTGCTTACCTGGTGGGATCTTTCCATCGCGCCGCCTTGGCGGACACCACCGCCGGCGGCTGTCAGTGCCTCACCAGCTGGAAGTTGGGCGGCTCCGGAACCACCTACAGCGGCTGCGCCAACCCCGATGCAGACCCGCGGGGCCCTTGGTGCCCCGTACTGCCGGGCTCGTGTACACAGCCGGACAAGGCATCAGGTGAGGAAGAGGGGAGGGGGGGTGAGGCGGGGTTTTGGGGGTTGGGGGTTGGGGGCTTTGTTTTCTGTGTGCATGTGATTCCAGTCCATCTGACTCATCGGTATCATCGCACGTAGTATTAACGCAATTTCTTTTCGCGGGCGGCTCCGATACCATCTTTTGATGGCAGTGGAGGGTTTGGTAAAACGTGTCGTGGCCGGGCTGTTCGCCAAGCTGTTTTTTTCCTTCCTGAACTGACTCCTTCCCCGGCCCCGTACAGATATGCAAATATACATATACATATACATATACATATACATATACATATACATATACATATACATATACATATACATATACATATACATATACATATACATATACATATACATACATGTATGATGTGTATGATGTGTGGGACAGGGGGCCATATCTTCACCCCTGGCCGCTACCCGGCAAAACCCTGCCTTCCCGGTATTTCGGGGCACCCTCATCCAGTCACCCTAGTCAACTTCTCAGTGGATCGCTCAGGTTCCGCACCCACCACCAGCATCCAACGGAATCTGCCGGATCGACAGCGGCGCAACTCCGTTCCTGGTCGGCTCGCGGGTTAACTTACGTTATCCCAGGACACCACCGCCCCTCGACTAGGGGCACTTTACCTTCCACCGTCGGAAGGATTTTCGACCCTGACAGGTCTCGATCCCGGGATCTCGATGTATGCTGGGGTACGGCTAGGTGCACATACATACATACGCACGCATTTGTAAGCACGTGTGCACATACCGATTTCATGCCTCCACCCACCCAGCACGCGTATGTCGCCATTCCAGCGGCTAAGCCATGTCATATACATCAGTGTTAATTACATGCTTCAAGAAAGAAATATAAAGCGAAACAGCTTTTTAGATGCGCAGTAACCACATCGAAGCTCATGTCCTGTTGTCCAGGGGGACTCTCCATCCGGGGGCCTGAGGGGGGGGGAGGGTTGTTCCAGAAATCGGTTCTAAGTTGTTCCAAATCGTTCAAGAAATCGATACGACACGTTTGACCTCTAAGTCGTGTATGGCAGGGGGGAAATTGCGAGAGCTCAGGGGACAACGGTGTGTATGTGTGTATTTGTTACGTATCGATCCGGGCCTGATGCTGCCCAGGGGCACCTAACCGTACCCCGACGGGAACGACCGCTGTCTCTCCTTGTGGGAGGAGAGGGGCGTGTGTGTGTATGTGTACGTGTTTGCGCCTCCCGTGCGCGGCTCCCACTACAGGTTACGACTGTTTATGGCTAGGGGTGTGAATGTAAGTGACAACAGCTACAGCACAACCTGAGGGCTCGTTAACATGGGCTCGATCAGGCGACTCTCCGAAATGCCCTCGGCCAAACTACCGTAATTTGTAAGTTGAATAATTCTAGTGTTTCCTTTAGCTAACCACCACGCTTTATTAGCTTCAATTCAAAACATATCGAGGTCACTCCCTCGGTAAACTGTTCTCAAAACATCAAAAGTTCGCTTAACCATACTGTTAAAAGAGTTAAGCCAAAACGTAGCTCTGATTGCAGAGTTTGGCAGGTAGCGACACGGCATCATCCAGCAGAACGACATCCAGGACACATCATAATTTAAAAGAAATGTCATGGAACGTATTTTTGCGCTTCAAAGTATTAAATCCCATCTGAAGGTCGGAAGCTCGCACCTTGCAGCTAGTGTCGTACTTTGTAAACAAAACTACAAAATAAGTAGCTAGCATAGTTTTACTCCTCCGGCCTGAAGAGAGGTAGGCTGTCTGCCAATATGTTGGGGAAGATGCCGGCAGGTGCTTTCGCAGGGTTTCGTATTTACCCGGAACGCCCTGAAACAGGAATGGTCTGCCGTACAAACTGCTCGTTAGACAAGCGTCTCTTTGCCTTCTTGGGGTGAAGAAAGGACCATGAGCGGTTTTACATGTATCGAGGAGTGAATGTACGGATGGATAAATTTAGTGGATGGATGGCGTTACTGTGGATCCGACCGAATCCAAATCCGGATTGGGATCCAGATCCCGAAGACGCATTCAGCTGACGTCACCTACTACGGCCCACGTAAATTCCTGGGTTGTGATCAACAGGCTGAGGGACAGGTCACGGGCGCAAACATTTCTCTCAGGCCCACCATTTTCCGCACCTGCTGCTTGTTACCTTGCCTAAACAGGCCCGTCAGGGTTTTCCTTTCCTAGCCCAACCCCGCTTCACACATACACCGCCCTTCATGTTCCTCTTCCCCCCCCCCCCAAACACTCTCCTGGGCTTTGCTTAATTAGGCAACATCACCAGCGCCGACAACCCCTTTGACTACTGCTCCGCCAGTCATACATTGTCGGGCTGTTCGTGCGCCGATAAGTACGGCGCCGGCGGCAGCTTTGCGTACGGCACATGCTACCGTGGCGACACCCGAGCTGTAACCCGGGGGGCGTGGTGAGTCGAGCAAGGTCGTTTTTGTGTGTTTATAAGTCTGTATGTGTATAAGTCTGTATGTGTATAAGTCTGTGTGTATTTCTATCACTTGAGCACCGACGAGTAAAATGCCGATGTGAGGTACACGGGGTGATAACTTCATCATATGCGGAAGCGAGCTCTGATTAGTTATCAGCGAAGTGTGTTAGGTTTCTCCACAACAAAACTGGAGACGTAGCTGCTGTGTATGTATATCTGTTTGTGTGGAGTGTGCGAGTCGTGAAAGCGGCGGAGGAGGTTGGAGGAGTCACAAATGCAGAAAACAAGAGAAACATGAATGTGGGGGGCGGGAGGGAGGGAGGGGAGGCAAGGGGAGGGGAGGCAAGGTTCAAATTTCTCGGATAAGTTCAGCGCCATCCGCTCACCCTCCCGTGAAATCCATCCCGATAAACATAAAGCCCCCTAAAACCTAATACACACACACACGCACATCCACAGGCACACGCGCGCGCGGGCCCCATGCCCACCTCCCCCCACCTCCCCCCACCTTTCCTCAACCCCACACGGCCACCTTCCCTCCCCCGCATCCCCCCCAGGTGTACAGTGAACAGCTCCACCTGCCCCACGTCGTACCGAGCGCACGGCAGTACGGACACGTCGTACGACTACTGCGAGACGCCGACCGTGGAGGGCTGTTTCTGCATCAACAGGTGACAGGCGGCGTCTCTTCTGCTGACATTTCCGCCGCCTCACTCCCGCAGCTCGCCACACCCGAGGACCTCTGCCTCTCCCCCCTCCTTTCATGCCTTGACGGTCTGACGCGCCTCTGCCGTAACTCTCTGCCGTACCCTGTCCCCTTGTTCAACATGCCATTTTGCTTGGACGACGATATAAATGTTAAATGGATATGCATTGGTATATATGCATATATATGTATTCATTCATATATGTTAAATGGAGATGCAACCCAAGTAAAAAGTATGGTAACAGTAAAAGTAAAATGGTGACTGACAAAGGCTACGGGCCTCTTGCGCTTGTGTGGCGTACTTGGCGCAGTTGGACGTACAACGGTGTGACGTACAACGGCACGTGTGCCACTGGGTTTTACCCCGACCTCCCCCCGGAGGGCTTCACCAACACCAGCCGCTGGTGCCGAGTACAGCCCGGCTGCCCCACACGTAACCAGGTGTGAATGTGTGTGTGTGCGTGCGTGTGTGTGTGCGTGTACTCATGTATGTATGTGTATGTATGCGTGTACTCGTGTATGTATGTGTGTATGTGTATGTGACCTATAACGTTTTCCATCCTCTCGCGGCACCCTGCGGTCCTGTAGTTGAACGACACGCCGCCAAAACACACACACGCACGCCATAACCCCCCTTCGCATTTGCTAGTTCTAAACACTTCCCTTCCCGCCATTCACATTCAAAATTTTCCCTCTCCGTACAGCTGGGTGGTCGCCGTATCGGGCTGTGCAGTCCCGCAGTGCCTCGCCAGGTAGTTAGCCCCGCCAACGCCTCCTGCGTGGTGCCAACTGCCGTGTCCGGTGGGGTGGTTGTGTACGACTGCGTACCCTGGCGCAACGGTCCCGCAAGCGCTGACCGTGCCGACGGCCTCGCAAACCCCGTGTGCCCCGTGGACGCGGCGGGCAGTACCTTTGGAACGTGCGTGGCAAGGAGCTGTACGGCATTGGACATGTCGGCATGCCCCTCCACGCTGCCTCAGGTACCCGGGGAATCGGGAATCTGGGAGGGGGCTCGTAGGGCGAGGGCGTGTGTGTATGTGTGTGTATGTGTGTATGTAAATGTTCTGAGTGCATTCCTGGAGCCAGGTGGGGAGATGGGGAGATGGGTCGGGTGGGGGGTATGTGTGAGTGTGGAGTGAGTGTGTGAGTGTGGAGTGTGTGTTTGTGTGTGTGTTTTGACGTTGGGATGGTGGGGAAATACCGGAAATTGCTGCGTGACCGGCAAGTTTTAGTTGCTCGTCAGCACAGCCCCTCGCCCGTAATTTATCCGGGGTTTCCACGGCACGCCAAACCCTAACCCCCGCTTCCCCTCCGTTAAAAACCCCCTCCCAACCCCCCTCCCTCTCTTCCTTCTCTTCCCCCACTTTTCCCCCCTCCCGTCATCTTCCTTGTGTCTGTCCCTTCCCCCCCACAACCACCCGACCCGCAGTCCACTCCTCAACTCCAGTCCAGTGCCTGGCTGTCAAGATCCTGTCTCGTACAGTTGTGCTCTGCCGTACTCGTCAGTGGCGACAACACCACATGTGCGGCGGATGGCGCCCGAGCCGCCGCCGCCTTTGCCCAGCTCAACGGAAGCGCGACGGCGGCGGATGTGATGAGTAGCACTTACTTGGCAAGTGAGTGAAGATTGGATGCTGGGGCCCTATCTGTATGTATGTGTGTATGCATGTTTTTTTGTTTGTATGTATGTTTGTGTGTGTGTGTTTTACCCTCCGCTTTGTTTGCCGTACATCCCCCAGGATATTTTGCCGCTTTCTAGGTCCCCACAACAACCTTCCTCACCTCAATCAACCTGATAACAGGCGTGCTGTGCCAATACACACACACGCACGTGATGCGGCACCCTGCTCTACACACCTCCACAGCCTCCACAGCCTCATAACCCACATCCCTATTCATCTCGCTTACATACAAACACACATACATACGGACATACGGGCTTATCTGTATGTAAATACACAGCTACATGCCGAATTATCTACAGGTGAGGCTCTGTCCGCATACTTACATACTTACATACTTACATACTTACATACTTACATACTTACATACGTACGCGCCGCTGTGTGCTTTGTTTCCTCTCTCTGTCTACTGCAGCCTCCCTGGAAGCGTTCTGTACGACATTACGCGGTACGGATTGCCTGCCGTCCCTCATGTTGCCCGCCTGCCCTGCCATCCGCCTCAACGGTACCGCCATGTACGACACGGCGTACGTGGACGACAGCAGTACGAGAAATCTATGCCGTGCGGATTGCCTCAAGGCGCTTTGCACCGTGGCGAGGTGAGGGGCCGACGTCTTGTGCGTGTATTTAAATACACAATTAAATATGTACCGCCCTGAAAAGCCCCCTTGTTCCGGCCTCGCCCCTCGGCCCCCTCTCTCCCCCCTCCCTCATTCACCCCCATTATCTCCCTGCGTTCTCGCCCCTGTGTATTGCAGTACACGTTGTGCTCGTACACTGCTGGTGGAGTCCCTCCGTATGACGCTGCTTGAGGCCATGGACGCCAAGTGCGTGGCGACCGGACTGATACCTTCCTCCTCCTCCTCCTCCTCCAGCACCGGCACCAGCGCCAGCACCAGCACTCCTATACCCCTGACCAGTCTGACCTCCGCACTTCTGTGCCCCCAGCTGAGTGCGCCCGATGCCACCTGCGCACCGCTCACGTCCTTGGGGGGCCCATCAGGTGTGTATGTATGTATGTGTGTGCATGTGTGTATGTGTGTATGTGTGTATGTGTGTAGCGCGGGTGAAGAGGGGGAGGAGTAGGGGGTTAGGTGTGCCGTCTGATCATCATAACCAGCACCAGCACCAGCACCAACACCAACACCACACCCACAAGCACTAGCACCACCATCAACACCACTACTAACACCACCGTCACCATCACCATCACCAGCATCAGCATTCCTTGGTATTCGTATCGTCTCGTACATCGTCGACCCTTGCCTGGACACACACCTCAATCTCCCGCTGCTTCTGATGCCCTCCCTTTAGAGACATCTGGTCCGGAAAATGTGAGAAGGCCTGGCACCCACCCACCCATCCACCACCCACCCAACCCCCTTAAACCCCTACACCCCCTTCCCCGAACCAATCCCCCACCGCAGGCACCATTTCTTTGAGCCCTGTGGCCGGCACCTCACAATACGCTCCCCTGACTAACTGCACATGGCGTATAAGTCCCGGCGGACTGTCGTACATCGTTCTTACGTTTTCGGCCTTTAGTACGGAAGCCCTGTACGACACCCTGTTGGTGGAGGACGCCGATGGCCCGGTGGCTGTGTTGTCGGGGGAGACGGGAGGCGATCTGCCGGGTCCGTTGGTTACTGACACAGGTGTGGTACGGCAGATGTACGGCTTGCGTGTGTGAGTGTACGGCTTCGGGGTGAACGGGGGTTAAGGGGGGTTGGGAAAGTGGGTTTGAGGTGCGCTTGCGTCTGTGTATCTGTGTTTAAGAACCGAGCTCCGGACATACTCTACTAAAACTCCAACTCCCCATGAATGAACGCGCTTTAACCCCACCTTTTACCCCTTTTCAAATCGTTCGTGGTTCGTCTTCCCCCCTAATCCCCCCCTAACTCTACACCCTAACTCTACACCCTAACTCTACACCCTAACCCTACCATCAGGCCTGCTGGTGCTGACCTTCACTTCAGACAGCTCCATTCAGTTGTCGGGGTTCACCGCCACCTACACTGCCACCACCACACGCGAACTGCCCATACCCACATGTGGTCCCAGGCAGAAGGTACGGCATGTGTGTTTGTGTGCTTGTTTGTCCGTATGGCGTGCCAGGAGGTTCATCTTGCTGTTGCTGCGGTGTGGCTGTGTGTGTGGCTGTACGTGTGTTTTGAGGGGGGGGGGGGGGAAATGGGGGGATTTCCAGGGCGAGGTTGCACGCAGCCTCCTTTCCCTCACACCCAAATGTGCCTGGCTGACCTGCTGTTTTTTCTTTCTGAAAAATTTTATCGCTCTTCTCATTCCTTTGTCGTTTGCGGCAACAGCTCGCGAAGTTCACCATGCGCACCGGCAACTACGGCAACGAGGACAGTTGGGTGGTTGGCGGTTACCGTTGGATCTCGTCTTCCAATGGTAGCAGTAGCAGTAGCAGCGGAGGAATGCAGCGCATTATGTTGGCGGCCGGCGGGCAGCTGCCGGCTACAGCCTACACGCTGTTTCCTTCTAGCAACGTCTCGCTCGTCTCAACCGACTCGCAGTACCGAAATAACAGGTACTACGACAATTTGGTTGGGCGGTTGGCGGTTGGTGGTTAAGTTGTGCATGCATGTGCGCAGTTTTATGGTTCTGAGGGCAGTTTTGTCCTTGGTTTTGAAGGCATGCTAGATTGGGCTGGTCGATGCCAAGGCAAAGCAATTTAAGAAAAGAGGGCAACACAGAGCCCAGCGTGTGCTCATAAAGGAGAAATTATGCCTGTACGACAATAGTACCGCCTGGGCCTACTGTCAACGTGGCACTGCCTGCGTAGATGGATTCTGTTGCGCGCGATTCAGCTCCGAGACCACGTCCGTGCGCTCTTCTGTTCGGGGGTCCCACACCACCACGGCGTCCTCCTAACCCTCCCTTAATAATGCTGCGCAGGTCGTACACCACCTACGGCTGCTTGCCCACGGGCCTCTCCATGCTGTACATGTACGACGGGTACGGCGATGGTTGGACGGGCGGCTCCCTGGCAGTGTCGTACATGCCGACACCCAACACGTCGTACCTGTTGCTGAACGCCACAGTATCCAGTCTCAACTTGACACTGCCGCTGCAGATCCTCACCACCATGCCTGAAACCGCAGGTACGCCGGTGGTTTCGGAGGCCTCGTACACAAAAGGGAATATTTCCGAAGGTTTACTTGGCTTGTATATTCTCTTCAGCTTCAGCTACCCCCCCCCCCCTTTTCCCCCCAATTAATTCCTTATTTCCTTGCATGTGTTTCCCCTCCCCCGCCTCCTCTTGCCCCGTGCTTTACAACCGTTGTGGTGCCCCACGGTTCTTTCGTGCTCCGTGTGTTACATTGACCTTCACAGCACCTGCAACTAACCCAACCGCCACGTCGTACTGCACCAAAAGGGGGGGAGTTTTCTGTCCCACACGCCTGTTGGTTGGAAGGGGGGGAGAGGATCGCGTTCGGAGCTCCTGTGGGTGTTTCGGAGCTCCTCTCCCCTTTTCAACACCCTCTTAACCCCCCTGTCTAGCCCTCCAACCTCAGGTACCCCCCTCCCCAACCCCCTCCCCATAACCCCCTCCCCAATCCCCTTCCCCCCTCCCCTTAACCCCCAGCCGGCTACTCGAGTGCATTAGCCAGCAACAAGGGCAGCTCAGGTCAGTTCAGTGTCAGATTCACATTGCGAATCTCCGGAGAGCTGGCGGGGACGTCAGCACTGAGTGAGGTGAGGTGTGGGGGGGGTTGGGGGTGGGGTGGGGGGAAAATGAGGGGGAGGGGGAGAATTGGGGGGACGCGTGTGTATGTGGGGGGTTTGGGTTTGGAGAGTTGCCTTGACCAGCGGCCGATTTCATGGAAAGGTTTGTTGATGGATTGTTTGGCGGGGTCATGTTTTCTTCGCCTCCGAAACCGCCTTTGCCTCCGAAACCACCTTTGCGAGAGCGGCTTTCTGTCTGTTTTCAGTCTTGTACGGAAATCAAGGCTATATCGCCCTCCGTCGCCACCGCATCCCTTCCTTCGGAACCCCCCCTCCATCCTTCTCCACCTCCCGTACATATATTTCCGTAACCGCAGCTCAAGCAACTCGTCCTGCGCGGCGCTATCTCTGCCGTACTGTCGATTGACATCACCGCCGTCGCGGTTCAGTCCATGGCGGCGGCGGCGGGTGCCGGCCGCCGTATATCCCTGGAGGATTCCGTATCCTTTGCCGCCACCGCCGCCACCGCCGCGACTGACGGCGATGATGATGGTAGCGCCGCTGCTGTTGCTATGGGCCTTGTGACCAGCGGCGTCGACGCACATGCTACATCAGACGTCCCGTCATCGTCATTGCCGTTGTCGTCGACGGCGACAGCGGCGGCGACAGACGAAACTCGAAGCCCCGCCGGTGAGCTGGCGCTGGCGGTAGCGGCTGCGGACGACCAGGAACCACAAGAACAGGGGACAGACCAAGAGCAACAGCGCCGGATGGCTATAGCTGCGGAGGTGGCGGCGGAGGTGGCGGCGGAGGTGGCGGAGGTTGAGGAGGAGGAGGAAGAAGTTGATGGGGCTCCCGAGGAATTAAGTCCTCCCTTTCACGGGCCTGGAGTGGTGGAGGCGCTGCTGGCGAGGGCTCGGGATCTGGGTCTGCGACCGATGGAAGCAGCGGAGGCGGCGGCGACGGCAACGCAGCGGCGGCGGCGGCAGCGGCGGCGGGGACGTGTCCTGCAGGGGATCCAGCTGACGGAGCTGTTGTCGGAGCAGCGCTCGGCGGGATCTAACCTGGCGGAGGTGGTTTCCGTACAGCAGCCGCACGTGTTGTGGAACAAGGACTCTACGGCGGCGACGGAAACGGCACCGGCGACAGAGCCAAGCTCATCAGCGGCGGCGGCAGCGGCGGGAGGGGCCGCGGCGAAAATCAGCACGCCTGTTCCCGCTGAGTCATCGGATTACGAAGCAAGTGGCAGTGACGGCAGTAGCAATACTGGCGGCAGTAGCATTCCGGAGGTTCCGCCTGGATACACTGTATTGCTTAACGGCCTGATGGTGGATCCTGACGGAGTTCCTGTCGTACGCAAAGCCGGATCCAGTGTGGGAGACGCCGCCGCCGCTGGCGGTGACGGTGGCGACGGGACTACTGTTCCCAGGACGCTCATTTCGGTCGCAGCGGACTCCGCCGCCGCCGCCGCCGCCACCGTCTCCGCCGCTGCAGCCGCTGGCAGCCTGGTCGTACGGCAGGCCCCCGCACTGGAGGCCATGGAGGAGGTGGTTGCCGCCATGCGCCGTAACGCAGAGAACGCCATCCCAGCAGCTGCGGTGGCGGCGGCGGCGGCAGCGCAGCGGCAGCAAGGTAGCGGCAGCGGCCGCAACGGCGGCCGTACGCCGGTACCGGCTCTGCAGCGGCTGCTGCCGGAGCTGTTGCGGCACGGCGCACAGCACCTAGCGGCTATGGCATTGGCTACAGCCGACGGCAGGGCTACAGCTGAAGGCGGCGGCGGCAGCGACGGCGCTCCTGCCGGAGTGGCCGTCGCTGGCGGCGGCGGCGGCGACGGCGACGGCCGTGACGGCGATGGAATCTTGGCGCCACGTGGCCATTCGGGTTATCGGAATCGAGCGGCGGGGACCCATGGCAGCGGGGGGCCAGTCTTGCGGGCGGCCGCCGCCCGCGATAACGCCGCCGCCAGGGGCGTCAGCGCTGCCGCCGGTGCTGCCGCCAGGGCCGACAAGATTGCGGCCATTGTGGCGGCGGCAACGGCGGCGGAGCTGCAGCCGGCGGCAGTTGCAGCGGCGACGGCGGCGGCCGAGCTGGCGGCAACAACTGCCGCCACCTCCGCCGCCGCCGCCGTCAAGGCGTCGCTGGTGGACATCAAGTTAGATGCAGCCGCAACGTTGGTGCCTGTGCCTGTGCAGGAGGAGGGGGGCGACGACGACGGCGACGGCGACGAGGACGAAGAGGACGAGGAGGTGTCCAGCCGCCGCCCCCTCCGCCACCGCAGGCGGCTGCAGCAGTCCTCTTCATCTTCCGCGGCGGTGGATGTCGTGCTGGTGGCGACGGGGTACGGCACTCAGGCTGGCGCGGAGGCGGCAGCGGCCAAGGTGCAGGTGAGGCGTGCGGCCACCTAAAAGCTTGTGTCTGCCAATCTGTCTGTTTGTATGCTTGTATGTCTGTCTGTCTGTATATCTGTGTATTTAAGTGTCTGTGTTGATTCGATTCCTTAAATCTTTTTGCATCACATGATATATTCCCTTTTGCAACACATCACATTTCCTTACCTCACCTTACCTTACCTTACCTCACCTTACCTCACCTTACCTTACCTCACCTTACCTCACCTCACCTCACCTCACCTCACCTTACCTTACCTCACCTCACCTCACCTCACCTCACCTCACCTCACCTCACCTCACCTCACCTCACCTCACCTTACCTTACCTCACCTCACCTCACCTCACCTCACCTCACCTCACCTCACCTCACCTCACCTCACCTCACCTCACCTCACCTCACCTCACCTCACCTCACCTCACCTCACCTCACCTCACCTCACCTCACCTCACCTCACCTCACCTCACCTCACCTCACCTCACCTTACCTCACCTCACCTCACCTCACCTCACCTTACCTCACCTTACCTCACCTTACCTCACCTCACCTCACCTTACCTCACCTCACCTCACCTTACCTCACCCGCCCAACCCCGGCTACCGTCGACAGTCCGCGGTGTCCGGGGGCGACCTCCGGGACATCCTCGCTGACGTGGACTGGAGCGCCTCAGCGCCTGCCCTGCTGGGAACAGCCCAGGTAAATGGGTGGGACATGCAGGTAGTAGACAGACAGACGGACAGACAGACAGACGTGGCCATGTGAGCACGACCAAAAGGGCAGTATTGAGTGTTGGTGATGGTCACGCCTACCCCCCTCGCCCCCCACCGCAATACTCCCCCTCCCCGCCTTTCCCCCCTTTCCCCCCCCCAACACACCCCGCCGCACCCCCCTCATCCTCAAACCCCTCAATACACTCAACCCCCTCCCCCCCAGGTTCTCAAGGGGGGTCAACCCCTCACGTCCTCTTCCGGCACCTCCGGCATCAACTGGGCGAGATGGGGCTTCATAATCGGGGCGGCAGCAGGCGGCGGTCTGGTACTGTTGCTGCTGGTGCTGCTCATCGTCTATGTCGTACGCCGTACCAGGGACAGCAGTGGACAACAGAAAACCAAGCCGCCGCCGGTTAAGACGATCAAGGTGGCGCCGGCGCCGCAGTCGGCGGCGGCGGCGGATGCGGCGGATGGGCAGCAGGGCCGCGCCTCCAAGACACAACTCAAAGCGGAAGAGGAAATCAAAGCCAAGGCACAGATGCAGATGGAAATGGCGGCGAGAATGGAGATGCAGCAGCAGCAGCACGAGGAGCTGATGTTGCGGCGGCAGCAGATGCAGATGATGATGATGCGGCAGCAGATGGGCACAAGGGGGTCGGCGGTGCTGCCCGGGCCGCCAGCGGCTGCGGCGGCTGCGGCTGGTACTGGTGGTGGTGGTGGTGGTGGTGGTGGCGGCGGCGGCGGTGGTTCGTGGCGGTCGGGCGCGGTGCCGGCGGCAGCGGGTATGGGCGCTCCTGGGGCGGCACCGGTGGGCCCGTGGATGGTGAGTTTGGAAGGGGGGAGGGAGGGGAGGGGCCGAGCCCGAGCACGCGTGTGTGGTGTATGTTTATAGCCCTTGGACGTGTGTGTGTTTTCAGTCCAACCACCACTTTGCCGTGCGGATGATGTTCCACTTTTCCCAGCAGTGAGATCCCCCTTATCTTCCCTGTTGCTCCTCTCCCCCCCACCCTCCCCCTCCACAACACACCACAACACTGCACAACACTACACAACACTACACAACATTACACACCACTACACAACACAGAACTCCGCAAGGGCGGCACCCGTGGCTGGAGCCGCCAGGGCTGCGGGTGGAGCACCGGCGCTGCCGACAGGTGCAACCACGCCCGTCACGCCAATGTACGGCGCCGGCATTCCAGGAATGTCGCACCCGTCGCAAGGCATGATGGACCCGTACACGATGGCGGCAATGGATCCTTACGGCATGATGGGGCCAATGGGTCCGTACGGCCCGTACGGTGACCCTTATGGTTTTGGTGCAATGGGGTACGATCCGTACGGTGCATACGGAGATCCGTACGTGGGGGCATACCCCGCACCGCCGGGTGCTTGGGGAGGAGGAGGGGGAGGAGGAGGGGGTATGCCCCGGATGGGCTGGCAGTAGTTACCCATGAGCGGCGAACGTCAAAGGAATGAGGCATATTGCATAATTCATATTTCTTACGGGATTAGCTGCATAGAATTTATGCATTATCCGCGCGCGTCTAGGGACTGGCGAAAAGCCAGCGTTAGGGTGTATATGGATGCCGACTGATTACGGGTCGAGGGCTCGCCCGTGAGGTTTTCCTCGGCCGGTTTTACTGAAGTATTTTTCATAGCTTAAGGTAGAGTTGGATGTTGATTGTGCATGCGATACCTTGCGGCTCTAGCTGAGGCCGCTACGCCGCCTCTATGCGGCTTGGCCCTGCAGTACGGGGCATCAAAGAACGCGTACGGAACGTCAAGTACGGGATAACGTACGATATCGATTGGCATCGATTGCTGTAGTTTCTAAGTATTCTGTAAATTATTGACCCGATGTCTCATGATTGCCGCGAATGGCCAAGGTACTCATAATGTTTATGCGCAATAGGAATACTTGGTAACATCCGCATAATACCTAATTAGAAAGTTAAATACCTTACTGTATAGCGTAGGATATGAGCAAAGCGTAATGGCTTTGTTCTGCAGAACCGCTGCGCGCGGCGATTGGTACGCTTCGTCTACAACTTTCAGAGAAACGTTGCTAGGAGCAGCAGCGCTTATTCATGGTGGACAGCGTTGCATGGCTGTGCTCGTGGAAGTTAAGGACAACCGCGTTCATCAGGCGCTTTCGGAGCTGAATCGGAGACGCGATGAGGAAGGGCTTACCGAGGAGCTGCGGAAACGGCAGTATTATCTGAACGGCAGTGAACGACGATATGAATCGAATAAGCGGTCATACAAGCACGCTGTGGGAAGGATTGTGTCTGAGCGAGTCAAGTGGGTCATGCAGCACAGGAAATGAGGGACAAATTTACCGTGCCATGCCTGGACGGACCGCCTTGACTTTGCTGTATTAAATGCGATTACGAGAGGTGCGCGGTCGTGTCAAGGAGCGAACGGCAGGATAGGGACTGCGGGATTATGATGAGTCTTTACCCGCGTAGTCCTGCACCGGAAGGCCTCTGTGCACAGAATTGAACGGTATGCGGTAGCTTGGGGGCTAATACACTGGAAACCCCATGTCTGAAAGGACCGGCGGTTGGCGGGCAGATACGTCCTCAAGGCATTTAGTTAAGTGTCTGGGTTTTCATGCCATGTAAGGCCCCTCCATGCCCTGCTGCTTGGCTACAATAGCGGTCGCACGGACCTAGCAGCGGAGTCCGAGTGACGAGGCTACCGGATTGTCCTGCCCCGGAGGATTGGTTCTGTGCTTGGTGCACAGCCACTCTGGTGCGAATCGGATTGGTGCAAAATTCTCCAACACTCCATGGAAAAATAGGATTTGCTGATTGGTTTAGTCCCATGTTTTGGTATGGCGTACGTATGCCCTTTTGGTCTGCTGTAGATGATCGTTAGTTTGGTATACGCTAGTGATGCGACCGGGGAAAAACGGGGTTAAAGATGGGCCCGTCGTAGTGTAATGTAACTATCCAGGCAAAGTACTTCATGCTGTGTCTGCATTAGGCTTGTGTGGGGAGGGGAGTGCTTGACGAGGACGGCCGTCATCATAGTTTGCCGTAGCTGGCAACTGAAAAGGCCTCTCGAGGTGCTAGTCGAGCGCTATTCACGCGTATTTATAGATAATATGTGTGCCGCCCTGTGTACCAGCTACTACACGGTTGCAGTCGCCGGTGGAAAGCGGCTCAGTAAGTGGTATAGGAGTACCCATATATTTGCAACCAGCTTATAAGCACGCTTTGTAAGCACCCTCAAATGCCCCAGCCATATACCTGCAGTTGTCCATGAGGTGAGGACGGTACTTCCCCAGCCAGCTGGTTTATTGGAGCAGGTTCTTCTCCTGAGAAGTCTACATGCTTGAGCTGCATACGTTCAAACGCCAAGGGGGGAGGTCAAAAGAGAACAGGGGAGAGGGAATACGGGGAAAAAGAGAACCGAGGCTAAGGATGCAGAGGAGGGGTAGGAAGGATAGGGAAGATGCACTGCAGTATTGAAACCCTTTGCTATCGTCGAGGCAAAAAATACCGTACAGTGGTATGTCGGGTCATACGACTGTAGCATCGAACAAAACACGTACGTATTCAGCTGCCGTACCTATGCGGATATTGGTTTTACTCGGCTGAACAAAAGCGAAGAATGCTGTTACTGTGCAAATCAAGTGGTGGACCGGCTGTGCATGAAGCCTTGTAACTAAACACCATATGTGGGGAACAAAGCCAAACCACTCAAAACCGGCTACTGGGCTGAAGCATGACTCTGCACCGCATTATTACCCTGGCACTTGAACGAGGAAGACCTGCTGCCGGTTGTTACTGGACGGTTATATTCCTTAAAAGTGCTAAGGTTGCTGTGGGGGAGATAGCCGACCCAGCACAGCCATAAGAGCTAGCTGTCCAACCACTATGACGACGGGTGATCGCGTTAAGTCCGCGTTAGCTCGCGTTAGTTCGCGTAACGGTGCGAATCTTAGCGTTAGGTGCGAATGAGCATGCTTTTGTAACGCAAAGAGCTAACGCACAACGGCTATGGAAAAGCGGAAATCGGCCAAGTTTTTTAAAAATTTATAATTTTCAGATTGTAAAGGTTTATTTGGAAATAAACTTGCGTCGTTTTGGTCGACTTGAACAATTCATCCGTGCGTATGTTGAAACGCGAAGCATACGCGCATGTGTAGCAAGGCGATACGCATGCGATTCCATATTGCGATTCATGCGTGTGGGGAGACAATGCGTAAAGCAATTCGCGTCCACTCGCACACCAAACGCACACAGTCCGCAAGGCTATTTGCATGCGAATGCATGTTGCGTATCATGCGTATGAAGGCTGATTGCGTAAAGCTTAACGCGGCCTAACACTCACCTTACGCACACATTTCGCAACGCATTTCGCATGCTAATACATGCTGCGTTTCATGCGTATAAAGGCTCATTGCGTAAAGCTTAACGCAG